TGTGTGTGTGTGTGTGTGTGTGTGTGTGTGTGTGTGTGTATGCATGCTCGTGCAAATAACTGCCCATCTGTTTGTGTGTGCGATACTCCCATGGGTAAGGATATCAGAGGCCATCAGGTGGTGGTTGGCCACCCACAAGCCCTGACCTTCGTCCTCTCTCCACTCTCAGCACTGGGGTCACAGGTGCACTTGCCACCATGCAGGGCTGGTTACATGAGTTGCTAGCATTGAACTTGGGTCCTCATGCTAATATAACAAGTGACTTACAAGTGACTTATCTGCCAGCCTGTGTTTTGTACTGAGTATCAATTGTAAGGCTTAGTTATTTTAATCAAATATAATTTGAGTATTTTTCTATTTTAAAAATATTTGTTACTACTTTTTCTTTTTTGCAGAATGGAGACAGACTATAACCCCGTGGAGCTGAGCAGTATGTCTGGGTTTGAAGAAGGCTCCGAGCTCAATGGATTTGAAGGAACAGATATGAAGGACATGCGGCTAGAAGCTGAAGCAGTTGTAAATGATGTTTTCTTTGCTGTCAACAGTATGTTTGTCTCCAAAAGCCTGCGCTGTGCAGATGATGTGGCTTACATCAATGTGGAGACAAAGGAGAGGAACAGATACTGCCTGGAGCTCACAGAAGCAGGGCTCAGGGTAACGCACTTTTATCTTTAGAAGAAGAGAAAAGCATATCTTTGCTACTTTATCAGAAAGGATAGAGAAGGACATTATATAAGAACTAGTCATGGGTATCTTCAAAAACACGTAAATGTTTTCCCCCAAATTTTGGTTAATTTAATTTAATTTGGCCGTATTTTGTTGGTCAAAATTTTGATCAACATAGAACAGTTGAATTTGAGGGGTAAATACATTTCCAAAGTATTGGTTCAGTTACTTGAATTATTACCACCCAAACAAATATCTTTCCTTCCTGTGGCTAACAGCTGCATCTCCCAGAGTGGGCTCTGTGCAGTGGGTGCATTTGTAGTTACTGTGCTAAAAGACCTTAGCTTGCCTTTCACAAGTGTATTTCCCATCCATACGAGATGTCTGAGCAAGGCTGGCAACTAGATGCACGTTATACAAGCCAGAACCCACATAAAAGTGGCACTTCACAGTGTTGTCATCTGATATGATATGCCATAGTGTGTGTGTATGTGTGAACACAATTTTTTTTTTGTTATTTTGGTTTTTTTGTTTTTGTTTTTGTTTTTTTTTTCAAGACAGGGTTTCTCTGTGTAACCCTGGCTGTCCTGGATCACTCTGTAGACCATGCTGTCCTTGAACCCAAAGATCCACCTGCCTCTGCCTCCCCAGTGCTGGGATTAAAGGTGTGT